AAAAAAAAAAAAAAAAAAAAAAAGGCGAATGAATCTTAGAGCAGAAGGCGGGTCGATGCATCCGCCACAGTGGTGAACAGCAGTTGACGTATCTAGCGGCATTCTGTATCAGGATGCGCTTCTCACGTTTTACACGTTTCTTCTCGAGTAGTGCGGCCCGACCCAATATCGGGACCCGTTGCCTTTTTACCCCTTTCCGCCTAGACCCAAATAGACCCGCACGGTCTTTATAATTTACACCTGTATCTAGACCGAAATTACCCCGGACTTCAGATATCCTGACCACGGGCGCGGTTCCACTAGCAGCCGGGTAATGTGTAAGCGCGCAAGATGAGCATGGGTGTGACACTGCACGCCCGTCGATGATGGCAGATCGCATGGCAGCAATTTATTTTTTTTTTACCCTTTTTCGATTATGTGTGTCTTCCTTATGCAGGGGCCCGGACCGACTAGCATAGTGTAAAATGGTGTGTGACGTTCTTTTTTTATTTAAAAACACAAAAACAATATTTTTTTCTTTTTTTTTTCCTTCCTTTTTGAACAACAAAGCATCCATTTATTATCCAAAAGGAGTGTCAATTAACTTACGCAACTGAACACTTATAACATAAATCACCTTCGTACACAGAAAACTGACAACAACCAGAGGTTAGAGACGACGACAGGGAAGAAGGGAAAGTATAAGCAAGAAGTAGAAGTGGAGAATGAAGGGATGAGAAAAACAAATGAGAACTTGAAAGAAAGAAAGCGATACGAGTCAATAGTGAAAAAACTACCGAACGCGCCCTGCTGTCATTGACAAAAAAACGTGAAGCATCGGACAACAAAAAGGACCGAAGTCTATAGGCGTAGCGATGTTGAGAGCATCGGTCCCGCGCAGTGCGGGACCTTCCCGGCCGCGTCATGCAGGAGTTGGTATACTCGCGATACACAAGGAGCTTCTGCAAGCCACTCCAACCGAATGCGCCAACCATACCCTCTCGCGAGCCTCCACGACAGGATAGGGCCTACGCGAGGTACAACTTACCTCCAACTGAGAGAGTTGTCAACTCCCTTCAGTGGGCATATTACTGCCGAGCTACTAGTCCACAAAAAGAAAGTTAATTAGTTGCAATCGTAGAGGTGGACCAGCCGAGGGCGTTTTTCGTACACTGTAGCATAGGCGGTACATGTCGTCCTACGCCTCTATTGGACCCGCACGCGAACCGCCGCATTGAGGGGCTGAAGTCCAAAGCGCGACTCGTCGTCGTTCGACTAGGAAGCATCTCACTCACCACATGTTACACCACATTTTAAAACATAAAATTAAAAAACACACTCACACACTTAGAACGACACAAAACAAAACAACACGAATAATCCTAGTCCCTTCAGTAGTCGTTCCATAACCTTCCGACGTGGCAATCGGATAAGCGATACGCTCGAGACTTAGTATAAAACCGCGCGGACACAAGGTCTTCTCATATCGACTCGCAATGTAGGCTTATGCAAACTGTCTTAACGATGTCGTACTATGTAGTACCCAAAATCATGCGGCCCTTGTTAATCTCGAGGGTTGCATTCGACACTCAGGTGTCGGCTGACACTCGCCTTGAGGGGGCAACCTCTCGACGCTAGACAACTGCCAATTGTCATTGAGAACCACACTCTCTTCTGCACTTGCGGAAGGTGGGTGGTACATAGGTTCGTACCTGTAGTGGCAATCGTCTCTTATCGCCATGGAGACCAGCTCCGTCATCCAGGGCCTAGAGAGAACTAAAGGGGTTTGACTTTGAGGACTGCAACAGACTACAACGTCTAACTATAAAACTCTAAAAAACACAGGACAAAAGAGGATCGTCATTTTCTCTCAAAGTATAATCTGTTTAACCCTTATGCACGGTCGCAATGGACTGCACGACCACTCAAGGCATATCTATATATATATGTATATATATAGATATAGATATAGATATAGATATATAAATATAAAAGTTATTAATGTGAGGCGATCACTTCTCACAATCACTGTGGGACTCCCTCCAACCATATATGTATGTAATCGCAGACAGTCACATCCAGAGTTCGAACCATAAACATACATGCAATCACATCCACGATTCAACCAAAAGTCCACACACTGTCCGGGGTCAACTTCAACCATTCTCTGTACTCATACTCCTTGCTTTAGTCACGCAAGCCTCAACCTTTGTCCAACCTTCTAAAATAAATACTCAGTACCTCTGTTAAATGATCATTCAATAAAAGTATGGGTGAAACCTTAATAAAACAATTAAAACCATCAGGGCTAAACCTTCAGGTTGGATAACGAGAGTGAATTGGAGTAGAGTCGTAAATCGACGAGTCGGCAACCGACATGTTATCAGTGATAACAAATGATGATCCTCGTGGGATCAAGTTGAATCTAAATCCAAATCCTGAATCAAACGATAAAGAGGATATGTAACACAGGACATGTCAATCCCCAAGTTAAACCATCAGTGTAAGGGGAATAAATCTACATAGCACATTCTCGCTAAAAAAACTTATTGTCAACTAAGTCTAAGTCTACCTCTAAGCCAGTGTTAAAAAAAAAGGTAGACCTTTGGCGGGGTCTCCCCTATTCAGGGTGGGTTACCAGAATCGCCACATGTCAATATATAATTTAACTGCTCTAAACTAAGAAATATTCGACAACGCTTCCCGTAAGAAAAATGCATTTTCAGAATTTATACTGAGTTGTGTTTTCCCGCCCTCCGAACCGCACGTGATAGTTTCCCATCATACGGCTCTCCGCCCAAATATTAAAAACTGAAATATTCCTCAACTCTAGCAAACCAAATTTTGTCTAACTCCCCGAATTAGTAAAAATTTCGGCACCATCTCCTTTTAAAAACTGGACTTCCCATATTTATACTAAGTCGGATAAAAACTCGAAGTAAGGTTTGAATTCAACTAAGACAATATTAACTAACTCCTTATATTTGTAAAAATCTCGGCAGCACTCCTTTAAGAAAATTGTTATTCCAAGATTTATACAAAACTAAGTTCAAAACCTAAAATAACTTTGACTTCTCAAGGTTCATTTTTTTCTAACTATCTGAATTAGTAAAAATTTGGGCAGAACTCATTTTATAAAATGAGACTTTCTAAATTTTTACTAAGTCATATATCAAATTTAGATAAGTTGAGTTTTGAAAAGTCAAAATTTGACTAACTCTCTGGTTTTGTAGAAATTTCGGCAACGCTTCCCATAAAGAAAGTAGCTTACCAAAATTTATACAAGACCAAGTATAACAAATGATCCCTGAAAATGCAAGAATTGACCCAAGTAAAAAAACTTAACTTAGATAATGCAGAAATTGAACTAACTCCTATGACTCTAGCACATGAGGAACATCTAAAACAACTACCTATCAAACTGAAACTCAAACTAAGTAGTAATCTCACTCAACCACATGCAGGCCAAACCACAAAGGTAAGTACTCTCACCTGCCCAAAGTTAACCTTGTCAAATAATAGTTCATAGTCTTTCACTGATTTGTCCCTTATACCTAACTTACATTAGGCGTAAAGTTAGACCATCTAATCTTATGGAAACCTGTCTAACTCAACCATTGGATATACACAAACACAGGGTACTACAACTTTTATTTTCCTTGGGCATATGACTAGGTTGTCAAACCTAGTCGTCCTGAACTGTTTTGTTTGCACTTAGTCTTTTAAGGTAGCATATGACTGAATTGATGAACTTAGATTAAAGTTGAGTCTGCCCTTTTTACCACACATTTATTCTTAATTGTTACTCTGTTCAGTTTGTGATAAGCAATAGTCAGACCGTTTAATCTTATGAAAACAAGTCTGACTAGCCTGATCATAAATAAAATAATGTAAGGATATAAATAAAATTTATCATTTTGGTTCCAGCATGTGCCTAACTCCAGACCAGACATTCCAATCTTATGAAAACCTGTCCAGTCATTTGCTTGAATTCCCCTCTGAATAAAACAATGAGAGTTATAGCCATCCAATCTTATGAAACATGCTCAACTCTTTTTCAGAACTCGATAAAACATAAGAAAACCCAAATAACTTG